TTGTAGCTGAATGAACACAAATCCCCACAGCCACGCTCCAACATCTAGTGGAAAGCTTCCCAGAAGAGTGGAGCTTATTATAACAGCGAAGGGGAATAAATCTGTAATGGGATGTTCAACAAGCACATATGAGTGTGATGGTCAGGGGTGCACATACTTTTGGCCTTATAGTATATTCGTGATTTTGAGCTAATTAATAATGTATGCAGTGATTTTTAATAATGAAGGCATAATTCCAGCTATATTGTTTCCTGACTTGGCAGATTATGTCAGTTACTAGATCTCCATCTAGTTAAAGAAAGATAAAGAAACAGTACGTGTGTGTTGTTATAGTGAAATAATCAATGTTACCAACCAAAACTGATTATTTAACTATAACACAATATCCTCAAGTGTTTTATTCCTCTTATACCACAGCAATGTTAAGAGATTTTTTATTTTTACTTATTAAAGAACAACACCTATTGCACTATTTATGTCCTGATGGCACTGTGTATGTGTGTGTGTGTGTCCTACATATATCTTGCACCTTGGGTCCAGGAGGAACTTTATTTCATCTCACTGTGTCCTGCACACTGAATATGGCTGTGATGACAACAATGATCTACTTGATTTGACTTGACATGTCACACTTTTTATCCATTTACAGCTTTATATAAAATCTGCAAAGCAAGTTAGTTCCTGTTCTCACTTACGTTATAGCAGCTATAAACAGTCGTTCCCTCACCAGCCTCTCTTTTTTCTCTCTCTTAGAGTTAATAAGACAAACAATAACCCTTTATATGACTGGCTATAATGTTTAGTGTTATCCTGCTTGACATATGGAAGCTCTTCTATTGGATTGGATGGTTATAAGTCTAAGAATTTTATTGTACAAATATGTCTGACTTTAATAAAGAAAAAACAAGCCTGGTCTGCCCTAGCACACAAGAAAGTGTGATGAATCACCCTCTGCAACATACAGTGATTAATTAATATGTCATTATTTAACTGCACTTATTTAACATCATAAACTATCTGTAACACACATCCACACAGACACACACACCCTGGAAAATGGCAAATGTGGGTTGGGCTGATATTATGTCAGGACAGTGTGTTTTAATAATATAGGAACTCTTTATTGGTTGTCACACCTCAGCCTTGAGGTAGAAAATGCCCTGAGTTTTGTCCTCTTTCTAAAAGGTGTAATCTAACACACCTAGAACTCAGCAACTCATTAACACACCCAACACAAGTGTTAATAAGGAGTATCATTATATTAGTGTTATAGCTTTTTCAATATTGCTTACACACCTTTGCTTTCCGAACATCACTCTGTAATAAGGTAAAATAATCAAGGATGGGAAGGTGTGATGTAATGGAGTTACTGTTACCACCCAAAGTTAATTATAATCCTGTAATAAAAACATTTAAATTAACCATTAACAGTCCTTAAGATGAAATATTCATGTGAAAAACATCTACTAGCGAAACTAACCACCATGAAAATTCATAACAATTCACACATTGTATGAAAACTTACAAAGTGAAGATCAGCACACGGCACGGTTCCTAGCGCTGCTTCTGTGTACACCAATTCAATTCAATTCAGTTTTATATATATAGCGCTTTTAACAATAGACATTGTCACATAGCAGCTTTATAGAAATATATATATATAAATTCAGGATATAAATTTTAAATTTATAAATTTATGGTCCCTGGAGGACTAGTGGTTAGTCCTCATTGTGCTCATCACCACGGCCCGGGTTCGATTCCCGGCCGGGGAACCAACCCCAGCACACAGCAGTGCACTTCTAGAGTCAGTCCAAAGCCTGGATAAAATTGGGGAGGGCTGCTTCAGGAAGGTCATGGAACTGATGATCCGCTGTGGCGACCCCTAACAGGAGCAGCCAAAAGGAGAAGAACAACAAATTTATAAATTTGTCCCTGATGAGCGAGCCAGAGGTGATGGTGGTGAGGAAAAACTCCCTGAGATGATATGAGGAAGAAACCTTGAGAGGAACCAGACTCAAAAGGGACCCATCCTCATCTGGGTGACACCCGATAGTGCGATTATAAATAATTCCCTTCTATAACTGTGTACTGCATGGACAAATAGTGCAGTTGTGTAACCAGTAAATTCATCACAGTTTTCACATGAAGTCTGTTTTGTTGAATTTTCAAATGTTCACTGATGGAGACTTGAGTGCAAAACTGTTCGTGGGAATTGCAGTTCTAAAGCTATCATAGCAACTGTGGTCCTAACCGTGTACACCATGTACTGTTTTGCTTTGCGTCTTGTCTCCGCCCCCGTCTTTTCATTGGTTATTCTCCCTATTGTGTCGTGATCATGTGCATCTGTTCTGTATTAGCGCTTGAAGGGTTTTGTGCATTTAAGCCCTTCTGGATCATTGTCTCCTCATGTTGACTGTATCATGTGTTTCCAAGCTGTGTTTCTTTATTTGTTCCTGAGTTCATGTTCATGTATAGACGTCCTGGTTTTGATCTGGGCCTGTGTTATTGTTTATGATTATGGATTATCCTGTTTGTTTCTACCTGCCTGTGTCTCAACCATTGCTATGGACTGTGACTTTGATTCCTGGATTTGCCCAAATAAACAGCACAGTGATCTCACACACTTGTGTCCCGATTCTCCTAAACACTAACACTAACATGCACCAACACACGCTAAGACACTCTAACACACACTAACACACACTACTACACTCTAAAACGCTGTAACACACACTAATAGACTCTAACACACACTAACACACACTAATAGACTCTATAACGCTGTAACACACACTAGTAGACTCTAAAACGCTGTAACACACACTAATAGACTCTAACACACACTAACACACACTAATAGACTCTAAAACGCTGTAACACACACTAATAGACTCTAAAACGCTGTAACACACACTAATAGACTCTAACACACACTAATAGACTCTAAAACGCTGTAACGCACACTACTAGACTCTAACACACTGTAACACACACTAGTAGACTCTAAAATGCTGTAACACACACTACTAGACTCTAACACACTGTAACACACACTACTAGACTCTAACACACTGTAACACACACTA